CATAGTTCTGGGTTACTTTTGCATAGTTATTTTGCATAGTTTTACATAGTTAGTATTGCTACAGCTCCTCTCCTACTTTCCGAGCTGATCTCCCCCTGTCATTTATGACCCTTCCACCCCTCCACACCTACTCTTTGCAAAGCGTGTAAAAACCAGCTTTTCATACCTCTATTAAATTAGCAGATCAAAGAGCAACCTTTCCACAATAATTTCATAACACTTTAACTGTGACAGATGTCTCCTAGACAGGAAGAGCAAGCCAATATGAACAAAAACCCTCTGAAATAATAAAGAAGAAAGAGGAGATTCCTTTTCTTAATGCATCTGAAAATGCAAGAAAAGCCCTAGAAATTTTTATTAAAACAAGAGAACAGAGAATTTCTAACCCAGAGTGGCTTAGTTTATTTGATTAAATTTAATCCGATAACATATACTAACTGAGAAACTGGACATGCCCAGAAGTATCTTCTACAAGTTAATATGAAGAAACATAACAACATAACAGAAGCATCTTGTGGCCTCTGTATTGAAATAACACAGTGACATGAGCATGGCATGCACCTTTATTCCAGAGCTTGATCAAACACCACTCAGTTTACCAACACAGGAATAGAACAAGATCTTGAATATGAATGTAGGTGTGGGATTCTAAACCTGTGAAACTGATTTTGAAGAAATATATTTGTATAGTTAGTACAGTCATAGTCAAGTAGACTCATCCACTCTTTTCAACCAAGGGAAGTAGACATGATAGCTCTTGAAACATTTACTCCTGGCATATTTATGCTTTGTCTCAATGATGGCAGGGTACAATTCTGTATTACTCAGAAGAATCACAGTAACATTTGGTTCTGGTAAAACTCTCTACACTAAATGGAATCTTTTGGAAGCCAGAACAACACGAGGGAGCCAAGGCATAAATAACACATTGTCTCAGGACAGCACTTTGGTTCCTTCCCAGTATAAAAGCTATTTATGAAACTGTTCCCATACCTGTGGAAAGACTTCACTACTTCTATCTTCCCAGACTAAGAGTGTGAAATTTAACAGACAAGGTTTCATCTTGATGATACTGCTTGCTACAGTAATGTCATATAACTCTTTTATATATATATCAAAGACCATAATTATATTAAAATGAAATATTCTAATTTTCTAATATTATAATTATAATATTATAATACTATAATTCTAATATTCTAATTTCTCTTAAGAGTTTTTAGATAATGCATATCTTTGAAATATTGCTCACAAAACTGATAGTAATTTTTTTACACAACAACAACAAACAGTAACAAAAAACCCCAAATCAGCATGTTATACTTAATTATATGTTTACTGATGCAGTTTCCCAAGTCATCTTTTCTTTCTTATTCCAATTAATATGCTTAAAAACACATAGACAGCAAAAAAAGTTAAGGACTATAAATCATTGTTAAAGCTGCATACGAATTCCGTATTAGATGAAGATATTTTAGAAATGCCAAAGAAGATCAAGGTAGGGAAAATGTTAACAGTTATCGATATAGGCTGTCACTCACTGAAAAGAGTGACAGGGATTAGATGGCATTTGGAAGTGGTTAAAAATAAAGGCTTAAATAGTCAATAGTAGTACTTTTTACCTGTTCCATTACTTATGGCAATGCTGCTTTTAAGATTAGTGCATTTTCAGTAATCACTTTTGGGGTGTGGGATACTTTTTCAGTCAAATTACTCTGTTTTCCTTAAACAGTATTTGTCCAGATTTATTTCTGATGCAATTCCTTTGACTTCTAGCAAACTATACCTTAATCATTGCTCCTATGACATTGCTCTACTCTGCTGCACTTAAAAAATGAAGAAATTACATTCATAAAGCCTTTCTTGGTTTTCTTTAGGTAAAGCAACATACAAGTACATCTGTACACTAAAATAACCGTACTAGTAACTTTTAAAGTTACATGTCCATAACTATAATCTGCTTTTGGGAAAGATGACAGCAAGAACTAAACCAAAACAAAGGGGGAATCTCAGAAGTCTGCAGTTGAGTTTTTACCTCAGCTTCCAATTTCCCAAAGGAAGGTGAATTAACAGATTTTCAAATTTCTAGATACAAAATTTGGTTAGAATTTCCCGTAGTTTACCAATTGCTCCTATTTTAAAAGCAACGATGTGCAAAATCTTGTACCTATGAGCATCAGATCTTCTCAAAGCTGAGCTACTTTTTCTCACAGTTTAAGTCACTTGGCAATTTCTTTAAGCAGAACATGCTGACATTTCATGCCAGTTTCATTTATATTTCACAACTGATTCCATGAAGTGTTTAGTGAATTTAAGAAAAAATGCTGATAAGACTTTCCTCCTTCTTGGGAATAACTTTAACCATAGAATCAGAAATCTATAAATCTACAGAATGATTTTGAAACGAGGCACACTTTGAAGGTCATCTAGTCCCACTCGCGTCTTAAAACAGGACTACTTAAATCAAGATGCTGAGGATCATGCCCAATTTATTCTTCAAGGACAGATATCTCATAATTGCTCTAGGAAATCTTCTTCAGTATCTAATCTCCCTCATGGATAAAAAACCAGCCAAGTAGCAACTAACAAACAAGACAACCAACTAACCAACTAACATAAAATCTTCTTACACCTAATGGGAATCAAAGCAAGCTAAAATTTTGAAAATAATTCTCAAAGGTGCATGCATCCCTGACGTACCTAAAATGGAGCATGCTGGTAGGTTTACACAAAATTATCTGTTCTGCATATTAGATTTACAAGCTTTTCTTCCACCAAAGACATCCCATAGATGTTTTTTCACTTTCTGGATGGCAAGTATTTTCAAGGAGCACTGAACAGCTGCCAATTTAAACACATTTAAACACATTTTAAACACCTTGAAGAAATGATGCATTTTTGTGCTACCTGAAATATAAGTGAGAAGTGGCGATGTTAAAGCATGACAGTCCCAAGTGTCCTGGGGCAAATTTAACCTCTGGAAAGCACTGCTGTTCCTCAATACCTTCTCATATCATGCGCAGGATGTGGGGAGGGGGCTGGGTCCGTTTCCAGTTTGGCCAGTGTGTAGGTTTTGCAGTCAGCTGGCACTGGGCTCCACGTGCTGAGCAATGGCCTGTGAATAATTTTCCATCTTGTACACTCTGTATCAGTATTAGCAGTGTTATTTTGCTCTTCTTATTTCATTACTGCTTCTAATTAATTGTTCTTATCTCAATGGAGGATCTTTACATTTTAGTGCCACCGCTTCTCCTCTCCATCCTGCCATAGCCAGGAGGGAAGGAGTGAGCAAGCAGGGTGTGATCTTAGGTGTTTCAGTGGGAAAATCAAACCTGAAAACATCACTCCTAAACTAGGACAGAGGGGTTTCTTGCTTTGTCATTATTATGTATGTATGTGAAGTACTACTGATTAACTGTCAGTACTGGTAGTGAAACAGAGAAATCATTGTATTTTCTTTAAAGAAAGGGTACAGATCATCAGAGATAGATGGATGGATGGATGGATAGATAGATAGATAGATAGATAGATAGATAGATAGATACATACATACATACATACATACATACACATATATACAAACATACATATATATACTACACTTACATATATATATGAAATTAAATATCATAAAAGACCAGTCTTGACAGAAGGCTGTAACTTCTTATCAGGTATTTTTTTGTGATTTAATTTAAATTTAATGCATTTATAAATCTGGTTTTATACTATGTTAGATATGTTATACCACCGTTTTTTGAGTATTTTCAGATTATAAACTTGAGTTTATTATTCTTTTAAGTGCTGTAATTATTTTTGAATTTCTAAAACTGTCTTTCCATTTCCCAGCACTTCACAGCACACCAATAGCCAAAGGCTGTGTGTATTTGTAAAGAAAACAGAAGGGTTTATTCCAGTCACACTGGGGAGTTAGAAACTATTATCCCTAAACATTTCATACTACTTGTCCTCCTGAAAAAGATAGCACTACTTTAATTGCACTGACTTTCTTCAGGGAAGAAAAAAAATCCACAGAAAAATTTTTCATAAAAGGAAAACTCACCTGAAGCAAACATTTGTAAGATTGAGGCTGGAATAAATACCTGCTTTAAAATTACAATTTGAAAGCCTAGAAAAGTTATGGGGGTTTGCCCTTTTTTTTGCTTTATTTTAATTAGTTGTCTTGTTTTTTGACCAGAGCAGAGTTAATTTTTTCAGTATCCATGAGAGAGCAGAGCCTGGGGCTGTGTGGATGTGACTAGGTTATTATTCTAAACCACCTAAAGTCATGCTTGGTGGAAAGAGTAAGGGGTTCCTGCCTCTGAGAAGAAAAAGGGCAAAGCCTGTGTTCAGCAAAAAAAGCTTGGAAACTCAGAGGGTCTGTCCGCAACTATTTCTTATTGTCCCAGGCTTTTGAGCATGCAAATCACCCTCTTTTGCACACCTTTGGTTTCTCATATTTTTGTAATTGCTGTCCATTTTTCTTATCTCATTGCTGTTTTCAGTACATTGGTTTTATCTCAACACATAATCTTTTGACTTTTGTCTCCCAGAGGAATGATAGGCTGAGGAGTGACTGGTGATTTGGAGTGCTATTCCTAAACCATGACATTGATAAAATAAATAAACCAGAAAAATAAGATTTTACACACAAATCCTTCATTTCATAGTTTTTCTCAAATTGCAAAATATAGAGCTGACAAGGCTGGGAAAAAGATAGGAGCATTGTATACACACTTAATGGATAAAAAAATAATTTTATGTGCTAACTACTCTGTCTGGAACTGAAACTACTTGGATCCATGACAAAACTGCATCTCAAAGAGCTAATGAGATACTGAACACTTGTTTTTTTAAAACATAAATCAAAATTTAAGATGTTTAGACAGAAATATTACATCAAGAATAAAACCAACAGTAACAGTGATCTTGCTAAAAACATAAATGAGAACATCCATAGGAAAACCATCATCAATACAACAATAACAAAAAGATAAACTTACCAGGTTGACACTGCTCATTTTTCAGAATTGTGGTGAAAGTCTTCCACCACTTCCTTCCTTCAGACTATCTTAATACCAACCTGATAAGAAAATAAATAACAAAAAACTCAACTCCCAACAAATAAAATGCATAAAATAAAATAATATTTTAGACAAAATGACCTGAGTTAGTGAAATCCTTGACTAGATCAGTGAGATGGATGATCTTTTTCCTTTCACTGTTTTTATAGTTCAAGAGTGAGTACCTAGCACATATTTGACATTAAACACTCATAAAAAAGAAAAACATGTGTGTGAAAACTGTTAAAGTTGCATATCTATTCAGTTTCTGACTGTTTTTAAAATTTAGTAAATAATAATGGAATCTTTAGAAATGTAATTTATGAAGTTGTAGTTCTACATGGCAGGAGACAAAACTTGTTGCACATTGAAATCTAGGACTAGAAGTAGTCTTTTATGTCTCATTTTTTTCAAAGTGTACTTAATGCTATTGCAGGTTTATATTACTTAAGGAAGAGCTTACACAGCACCTCAACACAGTCATTGATTAAAATGATAAATAAAAATCATAACTTTTTTATGGAGGGAGGAGGTAGGGCAGATTTAAAGGAAAACATCACTGGGGAGCTGAAATCTACAGCGTGGTGACTCTTTAATAAAAATCCTACTTCTGGTTATATAACAGTTGCAGTATCATTCTTAAAAGTGATAGTACAGATATTTAGTTCATGAAATCAAATAGTCTTCCATATTTTTACCTGGCACAGGGTTTGACTTGAAAATATTGACTTATTTTCAAGATATTTTTTTTTTTTTAATTAAGGTGGCATTTTGGATTCAGGACTTTAAACAACTTCTATCATTTTGGTTTTGAGAAGCACTTGATTGTACAGGATATCACCAAAAACTAGTACCAAACCGACAAGTCATTTAAGAAGATCTCAGTTCCTATGCTTTTATTTTTTTCCTGAAATAATCACCCAATTGGTTTATCATACTGACTAGACAGGGTTAGATTAGTTAGGTTTATTTTAACTTTGAGGTGCCAGAGAAGTCAGCGAGGAAGGTTTCTTTGCTTAGCAAATGTCTTTTTACGTAATCTAATGCTAATTTTTTCCAGGTGCACTTTTAGGTATGCTCTTCTAAATCACAGCTTTGTAGAAAAAAGAGAGAGGCTTGACTTAGCTATCACAAATATGCTTCCAAAGTTTATTTCTATAACTAACACAAAATCTATCTCTCCACTTTCCATTGTTAAGATCTCAGTCAAGACAACTCTTTGTATTAGAGTAGTCTCTGCTTCTTAAATTCCATTGCCTTGCAGCTTTTACAGCCACAATATTGTGATTCATGTAGAGAACTGGACCTAACGTACCAGGCTTTTTGAATTTTTCTAAGAAGAAACACAAAGCCACAGAACAATTGTCTGGAAAGGACCTCTGGAAGTCTCCTGATCAATATCCCAATTCATATGCTGAATCAAGACTGAATTCAGAACAAAGAGTCGTAAACCTAAGTATTGAAAAGTACATTTTCATGACACCATTAATCTTAAAAGTTAATAAAGAGCTATAATTTTAGCAATTCTGTGTAATTTTTAAAAATTTATAATTTAGTTGGTTTTGATTACTATTTTAAAATTAATTGTTTTATATTATTTTCTTTTACCTTATTGCTATCCCTAATTTGAGTACATTACACGTTCTATCTATCCATCCAGTTTTAGATGTTCCTGCTTCCATATCTGGATCAATGAATGCATTAAAATTTGCCCCATTTATGTGACAGAAAAGCTTTTCCTTCAAACTACTTTTAAAACTAGCAAAAATAGTTACTTCATCCTCTGTATAATGAATGATATGTTTTCTAAGAGTAAATATTTTTTAATAATCTACTTAGATTGTATGAAGGTTATCAGAATGATTTTTGTGTTGTTTCATGACTTGGAGAATGTCTTTTTACTGTCATAAACCAGGAACACTAGAAAATTTCTTCACTGTTCAATTAACTTCTTTACTTTCAGAATGCACTGTTTAAATAATTTTCCTTCTAAAGTATTATGAGGAATTATGTTGTGTCATATGCACTGCTAAATGGTACTCTAATACTGACCTGTGTTATGCACAGGTATAATACAGGTCAATATTAGGAATTGAGGAAGGCTGTAAGAATACTCATTTGACTTGTGAGGCATTTTGTAGAATTCTTGACAACAAAAACTAAGCAGCATAAGTCAAATTCATCTGTTAATGAAGATGAAGAGGCAGTCAAGGTAACCCCAAGAGGCAAACATAGAAATAAGCTTTAAGAATTTGGGATTAAGGCAGGCAAGACCTTTGATATTTCTTCTTAAAATATTTATGCCATTCAAAAGATTCAACTACTGAACTTCTGGATTATGCATAAAGGGTGACATGATAAAAGATTTAAACTCAATATGCTGAACATAAACGTCTTCTTGGAATCCTGTACCTCTTCATACTGAAAAGACAAGGCCAAGAATTAAAGCTTAGTTCTTGTTTCATTCTACACTTTTTTGTCATTACGATAAGATCAATAATAAATTATTGTCTCACTGGGAAAAGAAGAGAAACAGAGAAAACTGAGACTTTGAATTATAGTTCTTTTCTGGAGATAATCTAGTAATTGCTTCAGGAGAACTTATTTTCTTGTGTTACCTGACTTTGGGCCAGTATCTGAGCAAAACAAGCTATTCACAAACTACAAAATAGTTAAAAAAATTAAAATCTACTCTGGAAGCATGGCTATCAGAGGAATACAAAAGAAATTGTAGTTCAATTTTTACAACCTTTATGTCATGCATTCAGTGTGTACTTGGCACTAAAAAGAAAGCAGAAACTGCCTCTGCCCTTCTCTGACACACCCATCCTGAAGAGTCCCAGCATTTCCATAAAGGCATTTTCTTACCTCAAGCACATGCCGTATTCCCTCCTCTCAATTTTTAATTAATGAAATTGAAATGTACAGTGAAACCACATGACCAAGACAGCAAAATTATAGGAGAAACAATGGAAAAAAATTAAAAGAAAAGCAGAAACACTAACTGCCAATGTTCAGAGCAATTATGTGAGAGTCGTCGACTTTGAGTAAAGCCTAATTTCCTTTCATAGACCCATGTTTCTCCAAATATAGTTTACTTGACAATTATATCCCTATTCCACATATCTAATGCAGTTTCATAGACTCATAGAACAATTTGTTTTGGAAGGGGTATTTAAAGGTCCTCTACTCCAAATTGCCAATTGGCATTTTCTCAAAATTTGTTTCCTCTAATGAGGTGCTTCAGCAAAAAAACCTCCCACAAATTTTTCATTATAATCACCTATACAAAGATATAATTGATCTAGCATAATACTTTCCTAATGGACTAACTAGAAGGAATTTCCTCCAGTCCTCACATTAGAGCAAAAATGTTACATGATCAATATAAATATTAATGTCTTAAAACTAACAGAACTAATGGAAAGACTATGGTAAATCCATGTTTTTATCATATTAGACATCAAATTTTTGGTTTGCATCTGTCTGTGAGCAATGAGAACTCATTTGTTTTTGGATAAACTTACTACATGAATTGCAAATAGAAAGAGAGCCAAAATTTTTCCTAATACTTGACTGGAATTTACCACACTTATGGTCAGAAAGTAATAAAAGAAAAAAAAAATATCTCTCTCTCTTTCTTTCTGTCTCTCTTTTTAGAGAATAAAAAAGGAAAACAGCAAGATATATCCTCAATAGCAAATCATGTTCAGATTTTCCACAAAAATTTAAGGATTTGACTGTTTAAATAATAAGATAACTGCTTATGAATGATGGCCAAACACAGACATCTTATTATTTTGACTATACTTATGACTTTTAGAGGTTTATTAAACATACAGGTGACATTCAGCTCTGATCTTTAAACTGCCAGTACTAGGATCCAAGAGCATTTACGAAAAGGTTGCTCATTTTATACAAGAAACCTCACTTTCCCTTAGCAGTATTTGAAACAGACTGCTGCTGAGCTTAACATCTGGTCTGAGTAAATAAAGAAATTCTCAGGGTGAAGAAATAATATTTTGCTAAGTTGTTTAAGTGTCTTCCCAGCTGAGAAATCAGAAATATCTTTCCCATAGAGCAATGTGAAAAATGATGGGGGACATGATAAGCATTTGAATAAGGAGACATTTGAAATTTTGAGGGCTTATTTTTTGTGCTGTGATTTTATTTTTTTACCTATCACAACTAGGAATATTGAGGTGCTGTTACCTATTACACAGGACCTATTAATTTCAAAGGACTATTTATGCAAAAACATACTTTCTCAGTGTAATCAAAGAATGTCAATGGTTGTTTTTAATTGTGTGCCACAGAGAAAATGAAATGGCACCTGGAGAAACAGCAGCTTTCACCAGGAAACCTACTATTAACCTATTAACCAGTTAACAGAACAGCAGGTATCTACAGTCTGACATCCCCAGCTTCATGAACAGATGAAAATAAACTTTGTAATTGATTTCTCAAATGGCTGCATTAAATAGAATGCTCTTCTGCCTAACAGAAAATATCCCCCTCATTTCATTAAAATTGAATGGCACACTTTCTAGAAGGATGGTGTGTGCATATATACATTTCAGCTGCAAGGCATCTGAGGGATCCTGTCTCTACCCACAGCTGATACCGCAACTTAATTTATAACTTGAACAAGATGCAATGAAGAGCCTAAGAGCAGTGGGCTTGAAAACTAAATATTTTATGAAATTGATCACAGGGAGGAACCCACTATTTTTTTAACAGAAAAATCAGATGACTTGCATGATTTGTTTGAGCACAAGTGAAGGATTCAACGTATTGTTAGGAAATGGTGAAAACAAGATTTCCTATAAGCAGTAAATTAGTTTCTTAATCATTGCCAGCAAAATGGTTTTCAATTCAGAAATACAGTGACTCCCTAACTGCAATTTCTTATTCTAAAAAGTCATTTGGTGTTCCACATGACCATAATCTTATTAGAAACAAAAAAGTTTTAGGAAATTTGTCTATGGAATTAATGCATGAGTTATTAGGAGTCCTATTT